TTATTATAGCCATATTTTGGTATTTATTGTAAAAAGAATTTCTTTAAAATTCACTCTATTTATTTACCATAGCGACACTATGGCGCTAGATTCACTTAACAGTATTATATTATATGTATTTCATTCACATTATAACTCAGAATGCACAAAATTTATATCATTTAAAGAATTATCTAATTGTCGCCACATGTTCTATTCAAATACTATATTAAAGCTAGAACGATGTATAAAAGAAATTAAGCAAACAAACAAACAAAACCAGTTTTTCACAGACAATTGAGCATTTCTCATTCAATTAATTCAGTTCTCACTTCGCGAGAAGGCAAAAATACATAAAAACTCAAAATATCTGTATTAAAAATTATGAAGTAAATCTTAAACACTTATTTCCTCAAAATTCCAGAATGGATTAAAGCATAATTTAATTTGCAATAATAAAATGAAGGCGTTATCTTTGTTGTTGCGAAGCATAAGTTTCTCTAGATAGGCAACAAATCCGCTATTTCAGCCAATGTTTAAAATGTAAACAAAGCAATGTCCGCCATCGCAAAATTCATTAGGCTTAGCGGCAACTTAAACAACTTTTAAAATTGTTGAATAACTCCTACAAATATTGCATACAGATTGGTTCAAGGCATAAAAACCTTAACCGGAAGATAAGAACAAATAATTCAATCATTTTTAAAGCAAAAAATGCACAATTTACAAACATATAAGAGTAAAGAAACTGAGATCACTGAGCCGGGTAACAGAAGTGGATATATATATATATATATTTATATATGTTTGGTGCTACCGACTGAAACCAAAATACGAGGCACACATCTACATGTTATAGCAATCCTATATACAAAATTTCAACGTTCTGAGGCTACTCGTTTTTGAGTTATGCTAGATACGTACGTAAGTTCGTATAGACGCCACGAAAAATTCTCTTCAGAATTAATTTTAAAGCAGTTTTATAATTTTTTTGGTGGAAACGAGTCTTTTATTCTGTCCATATGTACAGATATCATGCAAAAACATCATTAAATTGCATTTGATAGTGGTCAAAATGGATATTTTCGTTGAAATATACTGCCTGAAACTTTTCGCAATTACAATACTTCCTTTTTACTTTGTACAAGGAAGTAAAAAGAAAATGAAATATCTGATTTATTGGAATTTTTAAAAATAGTAATTCAGTTTTGTGAACGAAACAAGCACTTAAGTAGAGAATTTAACTCAAGTACTTCAGTTGCATGACTGAAAACAAAATTTTAATTATTTACAAAAATCTATTCAAAGATATAGAAGATTTAATAAAAACAAAGCTGATTATAGCAAGGAAAATAAACTAATTTTGAGCATTCCTATTACTTTTGCATTTGTTGTTGATGTGAAAAATATATATTTTATACCAAACCTAAAAAACGATCACGATTCTGTTTCTTGTCCCTGATCAAAGGAACAGCGAAAACTATGCCTTAGAAAATATGACATGTGCTATTCCTGTCTTTTTAAAGGACATGTATATGAACAAAGTAAAATCAAACTATGTCTATGAAATTTGCAAAAGCAGTATGCATAACAAACTGTTCTACGATGAATCCATCATTTCTTCTTTCTCCCTAGAGTCTGGACACAGCAGCATTGTGACTATGCAAAAAGTTTTCACATGGCGAACACGCATGAATGAAAATACTTGCAAAATACTATTTGAAACCTGCTCAGCAGTTTTAATGGACAGTTCTCAAAATAAAGAGATTAATATTTTGTTAGATTATAGATCACAGTGATGCTTTTGGAAAGGCTAATTAGCTATACAAATGAAATTTCCCATCATTAGACAAGAAAAATCTAATCATTTATACTTTCAGTTCTAGAGTGCTAATATAGAAAATGTATGAAACAGTACAGTTTACTCTTTGCAATTCAAGTGATTCAGAAAAGATAATTAGAATTCAAGCGCTTTTCACTGACTTTATTTCTAGATCATAGTTTTGAAGTACTGCACAGTAAACTAATGCAGGTGTTTAAGAAAAGAACATTCAGCTGTCAAATGTAAATAAATCACTAGAAAACAAACTGTCTCTCCTTGTTGGAGCACAAATTTTGGGATATTTATTCAGGAGAAAAGGAACAATTGAACAAATCTCTGTTTGAAAAGGTTGTTCAAAGTCGAATCCCCCCAATCAGATTTAATTTCTAAGCAGAATGTTTCTATTATGAAAACTAAATGCTGCACCAAATAAAATAAAAAAATAACACAATTTTGGGAGTTAAATTCAATGGGGATAAATGATACACACAGAAGCAGTTCCAAATTTAATGAGTAATTTATTTCTCAATTTGATAGTAATTTAAAATTTGAAAATGAAATGTATACAATTAAACAATTCTGGGAAGAAAAACAAGGAAATATGATAGATTACTTCACAATAGCAATATGAAGATTTCATACCTTGAGTGCAAAAATGAAAGAAATTGATTGGGTGTAATGAATATAAGAACATTCTTAAGGAGCAATTCAAAATGAATTGTAAGAATTTTATATGTAAATATATTTTAATCGCCAAAGAGGGCATAAATCTTTCCTGATCTATACTTCTTGTTCTTGGATCTGGCAGCGCCAGTTGAATGCATGTTAGATTTGAATAAACTTGGAAGTTTTGAAACCTGATTCGTAATGTTCATTTAGCTTGGTGATTTGAATTAGTGTTTCTTAAACCAGGATAACTTGAATTATCCTGATGATTCCCTCTGATGTCAGGGAAACTAATGTATGCCCTTTGAAGTTGTTAGGAATAATAAGAAACATAAAAGAAGATATATTTAAATTAGATATGAAACCCCTTTTGGACATGATCGATGATTTGAAGAATTCAAAATGTAGCGTACTTCAAATGGCATCGAAGGTATTTCATCCTGTGGGAACTGCTTCACCTTTTCACTGTTGTAATAAGATTTTTAATTCAAGAAATATGGGAAAATAGATTAGGATGGGGCGATAAAGTATCAACTGCATTGGAGAAAAAATGGGAAAATTGGTGCTCTCAGATTCACCTTTTGATGAATTTGATAACTAGAAGAAAATTTTCCCTTTCTGCTGAAGCTAGTGAAAAAATGAGAATCGCATATATTTTTCCAACACTTGTCATAAAGCTTTCAGAGCAGTTGCACATTTTCCTTACATGTTAAGCTATAATTGTATATACAAGAGTTTCATAACTTCAAAATCTAGAACAGCACCTCTTAAGAGATTGACATTACTAGGGTTTGAACTAATGGAAGCTGTTATTGCATCTAGAATTTTACAATACTTGAAAACAAAATTTCAATTTTTCAGTTTTTAACGTATATGTGTGGTGTGATTTCTTAATTGCTCTTCACTAGATCAGAGGGAATGCTTTAAAATGGAAAACTTTTGTTTCAAATCTAGTACCTAAAATCCAGTACAAAATTCATCCTGCGAACTGGTATCACTGTAAAGGGAAAGATAATCCCACAGATTAGATACTTCGAGGAGTGATCATTGAAAAGTCCAGTTCAGCTGCAAGGCCCGAACAGCTTTGCGAGATGAAAAAAGAGTGGGTAAAGGGCTTTAAATACGAAATTACCCTAATATTTTTCCAGAAATGTCTTGCAAAAGAAGAATTAAATTGGATTAAATATCATCTTTTGTACACTAAATTAAATCGAATGTGAAATCTTTACTGAATTTAAATTAGTAAGAAAATTATACCGTGTTACTAATAGGGTGCTCTGATTCACATACAACACTAGAAATAAAACTAAATGATGTCAAGAACTAAGTGCTGAAGAACATGATGGTGCTGAAATGATTTGGACAAAAACTGTTCAGAGTGAAATTTTTGCTCAAAAGTTATCCTGTTTAAGACAAGGCAAAACAATTTCAAAAAACTTCATCAATTTTAGAATTTAATTCTTTTCTTGAGGAGGATGGGATTATGCATATTGGTGAAAGATTTCAGAATTCAGAACTTACCTCCTAAAACATCTGATTATTATGACTGCAAAAATCCTTTCTTTTTAGTGCGGAATGCAGACAGCAAAATATTTCCTGATGGAATTGTGAAACTTATGATAGAAATATGCAAAAGATGCTGGATAATGAAATGAAGACAAACTGTTAAGCATATCCTAACAAAATATATTCTGTGCAAGCAATTAAATTCCTCTCCTACTATACAAATTAAGTGCACAGTATATAGAATGGGACCAAAAAGTTCATTTGTTATATCCAGAGATTTGACTGTAATACAATGCATATGGTAAGTAGCACATTTTCCATTTACAGTACAATGTTAACACTTTTTAAAAATTATTCTGTATTTAAATCAGAAAATGTACTTTTAATTTTCACACACTATTAAATGAAATTGAAAACTAAAACATTCTTAAAGTTACACTATACATCACATCACTACTTTTTTTAAAATCTCTAGCATTCCTACCAGAAATTTTAGATAACCAAACAAATGTAATTTTCCTTTTAAAGAAATGTATGTAAAGAACATTGTAACAAAAGTTTTGCTAACTTAAGGAAACAATCTATTCTTTAATTTCTACATATAGCTTTTTATACAGAATACAACTTTTGTGGCAATAGTTAGCTATGGAAAGACAGGCATTAATTTATAACTAATTGAACTGTTTAGTAAACTTTATTTTTCAATAAAGAGACTACTGGATATTGCTTGCACTCCAGAAATACATTTTTCAGAAATACTTTATTTGTTTTTAGCATTTTGCTGTTCCTGCAAATTGTTTTATTTATGTTATTTCATCACTTATTTAGAAACACACATTTAAGCATAAAAGCTGATTTGTTCAAAATTTGGAGAAATTTACATGTATCCAAGTGATGGAAATAAGATTTAATTTTTCTATCCACCCAATATACTTAATTTCTCTCTCCCCCCACCACAAAAAGCTATTTCAACTGTTAGCACAAAACATTTTGAATACCAGACATATGTTATTAAAATGCAAGTAACCTCTGTTTTTTCAGACATTATGGCTGGCATATCTTGTACTTGCTTTTCCAGTATCTTGCATTTATCTTCAGATTCTTGTAGGTTTTGCTGTAACTCCTCTAAGACACTATGTTGTACATCTCTACAATGTGAAATTAAAATTTATCATTTGGGTAATAATTTGATGAAAACAATACAGAAAAGTGCTATTTATAGAAAAGAAAAATTTTTTACAGTTATTTTTTGCAACACAAGTATATATTTACTACAAGAAATAAAATTTCACAAACTATCTCAAATGCTATTTTTTATTTAAATTTTAGCATGTAGTTTCAACTGTGACATCTATGTAGAACTATCTGCATTAACAAAGCTCCTTCAGGGATGACTAGAAAACTCTCTTGTAACCAAGCCATTCCAAGAGGAACTGAATCTCAGATCTGAAACTATCAATATTTATGAATTAACTAATAGTTAAATCTAAGAATCCTTGATTTTTGACTCAAATACACAAATACTTTTAAAATGCATACAACTAACAGAATTTTTTAATCAAACTTTATGAATAAATGAGTTTCATGAAATTTTATTAAATAAGATAATATAAATCTATAATACTTTGAAATAATGTTCAACAATGTGAAAAACTTTTTCTTACGTATTGTTAGTGAACAATGTTTAATAGTATCTTTACATGCATATTTTCTGTTTGATAATAGCATGTTCAAATGTCTTGTAGTGATCTAAAACTATATCATAATTCATGTGAAAATCCAAACAACATATTAAAAAAAATTGATAGCTTTTAAATATTTTTAATGTATATCATATTTAGAAGCATATTCAATCTTTCTACAGCACTTCAATAATGAAAATATTTTCTTGAAAAACATCTTTCATTAAAATGTTTTATAAGTAGTAGTGAAAACTTAAAAACCACTGTCATTTTCTTCTCTCTTAATTTTTCAACTTGGGAGCTAGTAAGTATACACATACATTTATATATATCTATAAGTTCAAAAGTTATGAATGTTAAAATCATTTTCACTACTGATTTGCAACAAAGAAAGTATTTTTTTTAATATTAACATATATGAAATATTTAAATATTTGTAAACTTACAATTCATTTTTTAATTCATGGGCTGCCTGCAACTCAGCTTCTGAAACATCTAATTTTTGTTGGAGTTCTTGTTTATGCTGCGCAAACTGTGTTTGCATTCTATTAACTTCTGCTTGCAAAGTTTCTAATTTTGTTTCTCGGTCCTTAACAATTGCCTCCTGTTGAACTTTTTCTTCAAGAAGATTATCTCTAACTTGCTCTAGATTTTTTTTTGCATCTCTAGCTTGAAGTTCTTGCTTGGCAATCTAAAATATTTCATGTGATCAATTATACCTTTAAATACAATAAAATAACAGTGCAGTAGATGCTGCTACCTTAGATATCATACATTTCAGTGTATAATCAGTATTAATGTCAAAAAAGCAAACAAACAACAACAACAACAAAAATAATATGTTGTTAAAATTGTACTTGGAAGAGATGACAATATCCCATATTGAGCTAAGTTGAATATAAAACAGCTTCATACAAGATGACCACAATTTTTTAAGATATTTTACAAGAAAGAAAAAAATAGTCTCACTAATACCAGCTTGTCATTCTGATGGCTCCGAAGAAGAGAGGTAATTAAATTGTGTAATATTTTACCTTAAAAAATTCAATAAATATTTTAATTAAAAATTAAATTATAGGTGAAAAATTATCTTTAATAATTTATATTTTATCTTTAATAAGTTTAATAATTTATGAAACCATAATGAAAAGAAATAAAAATGCCAATCAAATATAATAAAAAACTATTTCACAAACCATTTACATCACAGTACCTTCAATACGATTTCTTGAACAAGGAGGATCTTTTGTAACATTTGGATGAAATTTGACACCATATTCTGAAAAATGTCTGTTACAATAACAAAGATTTCATGTTTAACTGAAATTTTCAACTCTTCCAAAACCCATAGGTTGCTCTGATATGCTTTTTTTCTGGTTTTCAGATATCTTCATAAAAAGAAAATGATCCAAACTGAGATCTGGCAAACATGCAGGCCAATCTATTCTGTTTGCCAGTGCTTTGGATAATCCTAACTAAGGAAATGGAACGAACTGGATGCATTCCATAGCAACAATAATATTAAAAAAAAATCAAAACACAAAACATGGATTTTCTGTAAACATGAACAATCACATCTTGCATAAGAAAATTTCCATTTTGTACTCATTAGATGCAAAAGAAATTAGACCTTACTGGTCCCAAAAATACCAAATTACTATAGGTATTTTGGGGGCCATTCCATATAAATATTTCTTGTATTTGTAATATTCAGTAATCTACTAATAATTAACTAATTTGTTGAAAAAAATAACTTTTTATAGCTAGAAACAGGAAAACTTAAATGGATTTACTTTTATTTCTTTAAATCAGTGATAGCCAATTGCAGACAGCTGGCCCGCATGCAATCAATTAGGCCCTATTCTATTAATCCATGACTAGATCCACAAAATTTATTATTATTGACCACAGATTTCCAAACTTGTGGATGAAAATAACACTACAAACTAACTCTGATAAACTCATTCTTTTCTTTAGTAAGGCAGAATGTAGTCCTTTTTTCGTGTGATTAGGTTAATGGAATTTATTATTAGTATTATTTTGATCTAAAAGCTGTTAAGTTTTAAAAAACCTTTTTACAGTCATTTACTACCCAAATTAAAAAATATCAAAATCTATAATTAAAATAAACAAATATATTACATATTTTCAAAAAATAAATGGCAAGTAACTTTCATTATTTTTTTACAATTAACCATAAGAAAAGAAAATTAAAACTCAGTCCAAAATTACCTCTACATGCACAAAAATATTGATTTTTCTGGAAAAATTAATGAAAGAAATGAATTAATTTTTGGCATGATACTATGCATCAGAAAAATACATGAAAAATCTTATGTGTGTTGCAAGACTTTGGAGCATCTGTAGGCCGTCAAAGATTTCTATCAAATACATGCAGAAAAGTACACCACTCTGACCACTTGACCTTACTACTGCTCATACTATCTCTCTCACCCAGAACTAAATATTCCCTAATGCAGGTGGGAATATTTTATGCTTGTGGCTTCCTTGCACTGCAAGCTCATTTAAAACTAGACGCAAATTGAATTTTGATTCCTCACATACAAGAGGAACACAAGGTCTTGTTGCAGATACCAGGCCTTATGCTCACTTGCCCAATTCAGATAAGCTCTCTCTGTTGGGAGCATGGAGGTAGGAACTAAAAAGTAGAGGCCCTAAACGGTTTTCTCCATACACTGCTTTGCAGCACTGGTGATCCCTTCATGGTGACCAAACCATTGAGTGAGTAACCATTAAGATCAATCGTTTTGACACGATCAGATGTAAATATTTTGTAATTACATTGTAAATATACATATAAATGTATATATTTTCTTTTTCTACAAAATTTCAGAGTCCTAAGTATGTGAAAAGAATACATTTTTAAACAACATTTCATTCTGAATGGAATTAAATTCTATACTTTTCACAAAACAGTTTGCTTAGAACAATTTAATTTGAATGAAATATTTCCACAAGTTTTCGTTAATTACATTAGAAAAAAAATTTAAGGTAATTCGATTTTATTCGGTTAAAGATTATAGAAATTAAGATCAAAGTTTGTTGTATTATTAATATTAAAGTCACACTGGAGAAATGGTGCAGCACCAGGGCACCTGGGTCAGGGACCCTACCTCTTGTCGAACAAGTAAGTCATTTTGAATCATGTCAGCAAGTAACTAACATAAGATAATAACAAGCTATGTATATTTCAAGATTTTTTTTAATATTATATTTTTTATCGAGTTTTTATCATATTTCATAATTTTAAGAACAATCTTAAAAGGAATACAGTAAATGGTGAATCTAAGAGATGAAAGTATGCGAAGATCAGAAAAAATCAGTAGACCTAAAATGTCATCTGGAAAAGCTGAGAAGGGGGAATGAGCTGGTTAAAAGGAATAAAGTAAACGGTGAATCTAAGAGACGAAAGTATGCGAAGATCAGAAAAAATCAGTAGACCTAAAAGGCCATCTGGAAAAGCTGAGAAGGGGGGGGGGAAGAGCTGGTTTTAACCTAATTCAAAAATATTCATAACATATATACAAGTAATAGGCATATAGTATGAATTTCCTGGTGCACTTAAAAATAAAATTTAGCAAACAGAACCTTAATTAGTGACACAATTTAAGTACATCACAACATAACACATTAATTATCGATTAGTCGATATGAATACTAAGTATGGCCATAACCTGTTTACTTTTATTTAGATCATTTACTTCATAATCGTAAATCCTTATAACGGGGTTGTTGATGTTAACAAGATTCACATACAAATTCTGGGACAGACGGCAGTAAAAATACCTCAGTTGCTCTATACCTAATTCTTCATGTAACTTTTGATTTCGAACATACCAAGGTGAGTTGGTGATCTGTCTTAAAACACACTTTTGTGCCTGTTGCAATTTTTTCCGATATGATTTTCATGAACACGCTCAAAACGGGCAGGCATAGAATAATATGGGACATAATATGGTTTTATAAATAAGCAATTTGTTGTCTATTGAAAGGACACTGTTTTTGAGAAATTAAGGGATGAAGTGTGATTTTACTAACCTGAAACTTTCTAAGGATAGATGTTGAGTTTGGGTACCATGAAAGAGTTTCACTGAGAATCAGCCCAAGATAAAGGACTTCCTTGGCCCATGGGATGACTTCTTCATAAAGTTGCAAGTTTTGACTGAATTTATTCTTCTTGGTAAATATGATTGCTTGAGTCTTGTCCACATTAACTTTGATTTTGCATCTTGTCAGCCAAGTCTCGAGTAGGTTTATGTAGTCTTGTAATCATTGTATTGCTGCGCTAACAAATGCACTTTGTGAGAGGATCGCAGTTTCGTCAGCATACACTGTGAGTGGGAATGTCATTCACATAAATATTAAATAAGGTAGGCCCAAGTAGACTCCCCTGGGGAACACCTGCAAGGATTGCCCTACATGTCGAAAGTGTATTTGAGATGGGAACGACAAAGTGTCCACAGGTTAGGTAGGATTTAACAATGTTTGTGATGTAACCCGGGAAGTCCAGGTTGTGTAGTTTGTAGAAGAGTGTGCCTTGATCATCCTGTTGCTTATGGAGTTGTAGCCAGAGCTCTTGTTGTTCTTCAGCTTTCTAATGTAGGCACAGACTTCCGACAGCATGACTAGGATCGTGTTATGTGTGGGTGGGCTTGACATATAATTGTTGTGAAAGTCAGCAATTAGTTGTTCTGTAGTGGGATCATGAATGATGTTAGTGGGGAACTGAAATTCCAGATGCTGTGGTAAAAGTTCTGCTTTCTCTTTCTCTGTAATGGATCCTTTGAGGGCCTTGAAGGGGCAGAATGTTGTTGTTGCATTTTTTATACTTTTTGACCACTTTCATCAGAGTTATCATTTTTAAAGAGAGGCTGCCAGTGAAGTTGAGAATAATAATTAGTGTGAGACTCGACTGTGTCACACACCCTATTGAAAATAGTTTTGTCCTGCCTGGATCTGGTTTTCTGAAACTCCCTCTTGGAAGAATTGTTTTTTGATGAGCTGGCAAAGTTCTTTGGATCTGACAGGTTTAGGTTGTTTCACATCTCTCTGAGAAATTTTGCCGATGCCTATAAAATTTCTCAGAGAGTTTACCTGTGAAGTAGCTGTACTTCACAGGTAAACTCCTCGATTAAGCTATCAATGTCATTACCTGAATGTATTGTTGGGATAGTGTATCGAATGTTGTTTAGAGCTTTGGCAAAAGTTTGCCAGTCAGTTTTAAAGGTTCTTTTGACTGGTGTAGTATAACTACTGATATTCAGGACCAAATGGACTGGATTGTGGTTGCAGGATAATTCACCCAACACAAGCATCCAGCGGAACACTGATGTTTCTGAGGTGGAAACTGGAAGTATAATAAAAGACGGTACACTACTGGATCCACTGGAAGTCTAAAGGGCTGTTCCTGCTGGGGTTTATCTGAGCTAACAGACAAAGCTGAAGTAGCTGACTCATCTCCAAAACCAGTTTTTCCCCTTAGAATGGCAAGTTGAAAAATCTGAACTACAAGCGTAGCAGAGCTAGTCGACACATGCAACTGACTCCGTTAGCTCAGATAAACCCCAGTGGATCCAGTAGTATACCGTGTTGGAGTATTTGGAGTTGCTATGTACAACGAGGCCGTGTGGGCTAAATTAAAGATTACATTGCCAGTAGTGCAGGGTTGCCACTCAAACACAAGAATGAAATTCC